GGCCAGATGTAATTTGGATTAAGGAAGAGAAGAAATAGTGAGCTGTGTTTGCATGCTGCAAATGAATGCAGTAATGCTGCTTTATGTCTTAATAGGAAAAGTGGCACCCTGATTTAGAAGAACACTTAAGAGTGTGCTTCTCTTTAGGGGGCGACAGTCATATAAGGCCTATTGACTTGAATGGGTTCAGTCTGTACCCATTCCAGAGGTAGTTTTATATGTATTTATTTCTGCAGAATCAAGATGAATGGTGGGAATATTAAGTACTGTGAAATTACAGACACAGAGGCATTTCTCCAAACCAGTAGGAAACCTTTTCCCCTGGCATCTGTGTTTGCCTTTGGGAGCAGTAGGTCAGGTGTTTTGCTAGGCAGACCAAATCCTGCACAGTGCTTGTAAAAATAATTATCTCTACATTTTCAGCTTTTTGTTTAGCAGCACTTAAATATGCACTGAAATTTCACTCTGCAAATTCTGAGCCAGAAAAACGTTTCTTTGGGAAAAATGCATATAATGCCTAAGTTTTCTTTTAAATGTGCACCTACTACCATCGTGTTTCCAAATGTAACAAAGCTCAACAAGTCTCTGGCAGCCAAGGGGACTGGTAATTTAAAGGCTATTTCAGCATTTTGATTAAGCATACAGTGATAACTGCAAGCCCATGCCCTGCAGGCATGACAAGAGGCAATTATGTTCTGAGGTCAAAAGCAAGAGTGAAAGAAGCACAAGATTTTGATGACTTAATTCTCAAGCTCATGAAATTACTAAAGACAAAGAAGTTCTAAATTGCCCAGATAAAATCCTGTGGCTCTCTGTGGCTGTTTCTTCTTCTGATCTGACTTTACCTTTTATAAGCTCTGGAGTGGAGTTTTCCAGTGAATGGCCACGCTTGCAAAGATTGAGTTGGCACATGTTTAAATGTTAAAAAGAGTGTTTTTCAAAATTTTTAGGTTCAGCTGTCCTTATTTAGATATATATCTGCACATAGGATACTGCAGAAAGGCACCTGCTTTCCATAGTAGTGGGCAGCCGTCAGCTCTTGATTTCCAGCCAACAATTAGGTCAGTTATTTAGGAGATTAAATAAGGAGCTCAGTGAGAGACTGCAAAGATAGGGAGCTGCTCAAAGGAGAGAGAAGTGTATTAATGAACTAATACAATTGTGCTGTGTATTTCACAGATGGGCTTTTCTCTATCTTATTTCTTAGCAAGAAGCAAAAAATAATAATAATTTACTCCTCACAGGAAAACCAGTAAAAATGATAAAGTGAGATTATCGTATAGGGGTACAGTGTTGAAATGTGTTCATGAAGGAGATAAACAGCCAACCTCTGATGTCTTTTGGGAGTGTTTATTGCAGGTATTAGGATAGGAAAAAGCCATGTAGAGCAGATCAACTGATGGAGGGTGGCAGGATGGAAAACACATGCCATTGCTTTCTCCTATTATAATGTTTTATACTGTTCAGTTATTTCTAATTTTTGATCCAAACAGTTTGTCCAGGGTGTCACACTTATTTTATGCCATAGGTCCAAGAAATAACTGTTGACTCCATGATACCACAGTGAAGTACCTGTAAGTGAAAGCTGTGCTTCTGATGGCAAGTGACTGAATGACTGTGAGAGCCAAAAGGGTGAATTCTGGTACAAAGTGAATCACATCCAGAAATGTTTTCATCAGTTCAGGCATTCTGTGATGGGAAATAGAATGCAAGAGGGTTTTTTTTTGTTTTGTTTTGTTTTTGTCACAAGGCCAGGTTGATGGGGCCCTGGGCAGCCTGGTCTGGTATTAAATGTGGAGGTTGGTGGCTCTGCCTGTGGCAGGGGGGTTGGAGATACATGATCTTTGAGGTCCCTTCCAACCTGGGCCGTTCTGTGATTCTGTGAGATACTTCACTTGGGATTGTTATTCGCACTTTTTCAGTAGATCAATGCCATAAAGTCTCAAGTACATATAGAATATGCAAGAAATGTCCTCTCACATCTGGCGCAGAAACATATGTAACAGCATTTATTAACCTCTGTATTTTCATATTAACTGTAATATCCTCCACTGGAAGCCTGAAGTACTGCATCTTCATTATTGATAGACTTGCTGTGTGATTAGGATGTTGTCTTCATTCTCAGATAAACTTCTATTTTAATAAAACCATATTTCTAGTTGCAGCTTGTAATGTCCTATTTCCACAAAACGTGAGAATTAAGATTAGCTGTGTATTTACGGGATTTCTGTTGACAAATACACCAGGTTTGGACAAGTTAATTCCCAGACAGTTAATTTCTGTGACTTTTAAGTGGGGTTTTCCTCAGACATCATGTTCAGTGTTTACCTGCCTTGATAATATAGAACAGTTATAGAAAAAATGCATAGGAATTCGCAGCAAAAATGTATTTTCTGAAGCATATGGGTCAGAGGTTTGAGTTTTGTATAGCAACAACTGCAAAAGTAAAACATTTTTAGCATCTATCTTTGCAGTTACTATAGTCTGTAGACACATCCACAATCCAAACATTGAAGCAAGCGGCTGTTTTCCAACCTTTTCTTTTGCATAAAGTATAAATGACAGTTGTTCTACTGGAGAAAAGTATCCAAATTACCCAAGAAACTGACCAGAGCATAGCCCCAGACAGCTAATCTTGACTGTATAGACCTCATTTTGCCATTTTTTTGGCAATTGATGAGAGTCATCTAAGCACATGGCAGTAGGAGGGAGTGCACTTGGCTTCAGCATTCTGCCAAAAACTGCTAGAAACCACCTGTCTCCTATACTGCCAATCTGCCAGGTTTAGTACAGAAGACTCTCGAAAAAAGAGCTCTCTGCAGCCCTTTCCAAAACCAACATCACATCTGAAATTTTCTGGTCAGCGATGGGCCTGTGAACACTGAAGCTAATAGAGGAAAATAAAACTTTTCCCCGCTGCCATCAAGCCCAATGTTTTACATAGCAGGGGGCTGCTAAAGGTTTTTATAAACAGATCCTTTCCAGCAGACCTGAAACTTCATTGTGTTATTTGAATGTCTGACTAAAATTCCTGGGCTTTGCCAACTCTGACATTTTGTTGGGCTTTTTTCTTTGTTCAAATCTTGTCTATACCTCCACGTCCTATTCTTTTTCTGAGCATCTCATAGCTATTTGGGAACATAAGGGCAAAGATGAGGTATTGCATCCTGAGGGCTTGTGCTTGTTCTCTTGCCCTCTTTCTGAAACAAGAGAGTCTGGTTGCATGAAGAGTTTACTGCGTTGAACAGATGTATGGTGCAATAGGAGACTAGGGCAAAACTGTTAGTCTAATCGCAGGGAAGAAGCAGATCTTACATGATACAAACCCTAAAGCTATGGTAATTGGAGAAGCTATTATTGAAGAATAAATGCATGTCTGTCTCAGGAGTTTGGCAGTTAGTCCACAAGCCTAGCACATCACTGGGTTATCCCTGCAAATTTACAGAAATGGAAATGTTTCTCTGTCCTGTAATGCGTATCTAAATGAGACAATTGACAATAATAGAATACTGTACAGAAGTTAATGTAATGTGTTGGATTGCTGCCTGCAGACAGACAGACAGAGGCAGCCTTGATACTGCTAAGGGGTACACAGAGGAACATCAGTGTGTGCTTTTTCCATGAGGAAATGTGGAGTGTGTGCACCATGTGGAAGTTTGATGGAAAAAGACAGCTGTGCATGGGAAGGATTTTTTCTTTTGGGAGTGTGTTGTGCAGTTTTTGTAATAGGGTTGAGGTGCAGTTGAGTTGTTTGAGGATGTTTAGTGTTGGATGGCACCTGGGTCTGTTACAGTCAGGGTTATGCCTTCCTCTTGACTGTTCTGTGGCCATTAAATACAGGCTTATATGTGATGCAGAGTTTTGTGATTGGAAGAAGTGTAGTACAGTATCAAGCCAAAATGGCATATTGTCCCTACAGCTGGAAACCTTTGTGGGTTTTTTATCCTCAAGGAATTAGGAAGCATAGTTGGCTTTTGTTTCAGTTTGTGGCCAATACACTCGGCTGGAAAACAGATAGTTGGCTCCTAGTGTCACTGTGGGTTTCCTGTGAGATCTTCTGAAGCCACATAACCCTTCTATGGCTCAAACAAGAGCAACAACATGTAGCTACTCCACAATAGGTATTTGGTGGGTTCTTGTATTCATGTTAGGATGTTGGTGATCTTCAGATCAAAGAGACCGCGGAGATGGGAAGTGTTATTTCTTCTTGTCATGCGAGTTTGCTTGCTAATTCTTTGGGCTTTGTTTTCAAGGTACCTCAAAGCATATTTCTTCTCTAATTAGCAACCTGTAGCCAACATTTCTTTTAAAACAAGTAAGATTTCTGAAGGCTGTTTGAATGAACTTCACAAGTGTGTGGCAGTCTCAAACATTCAGACAGATCCAAAGCAAAGCCGAGACTGAAACTTTAATCACTGAGTTTCACACGTACTGGCATTTCCATGAAAAATATCACTTCAGGGCCCAAACTTCAGGATGGTTGCCAGAACACACAGGCCCGCCACTGGCACACTGCAGAGTGTGGTGAAAGGCATTAGGCATGTGTTTCCTAAGGACTAGGGGCAATGCAGATGTCATTACATGCAGTCACACTGAGCAGGTGGGATCCCGGTGCTCGGATGCCTCACTGGTGGAAAGTTTCTCCTGGCTGATCAGCTACAATACAGGGCTATAATTTTATAGATCATAGTCACCTAGCTTTTCACATGGAGAGCAGAAGTAATAACACTGTAGTTGCTATTTACCTCTATCGATAGGGGATTTATACAGCCCTTTACAAAAGGGATCATTTGCTGTTTTAGCGATGAGAAAATCAAGCAGCTGAGTAGAGAAGCAGTTTCTCCAGGCTTTTTTTCAGCAGGCCCTATCTGAAGGATACTGAAGTAGATCTCAGTATGTGGCACATGGATAAAAACTGCTGCTAAAATCATTCTGCTTTTAATCCTTGTCTCATTGTGGAATAGTAAATGTTTACTATGTTTCTGTGTTAATCCTTGCAGCTTTCAGCCGTGCCCCGGTCCCCATGGCTGTGGTCCGAAGGGAACTGTCCTGTGAGAGTTACCCCATAGAGCTTCGCTGCCCGGGAACAGATGTTATCATGATTGAAAGTGCCAACTATGGGAGGACTGATGATAAAATCTGTGACTCTGATCCTGCTCAGATGGAGAATATCCGCTGTTATCTGCCAGATGCCTATAAGATTATGACTCAAAGGTATAGTATTTAATATTCTTTGTCTGCTAGCTGTAGTTTGTTGTTGTTGTTGTTGTTTTTTTAATCTGGTATGTACACATCAGTTTGTTTGTATTCTGCATGAGAAAATGTAGGTACTTAGTCTCTATGTATGTGCACAGAATTACAGCTGTCGTTGATAAACTGTGATTTACCAGAGTGGGCTAGGAACACACAATATAAATAACATTTGCAATAAGTTCTGCTAATCAGCTATCTTGATACCCGCTGAGTCTCAGTTTTACCTCTGAAATACCTAAATATCACTGTTCTTTATGTGAATATATAAATGAAGCCTTTCTCAAAATGCACTTTCTTTCTTTGATGCTCTGCTTATACAGAAAGCCAGTAATCTCCCTTTAATGATAAATATTGTGTTTTCTCAATAACATTTTTATTTTTCAAAGTACAAAGAAAAGTTTCTATCATTCTTCACGTTGCCAGGCTTAGTGTTGGACAGGATCTTAATTCATAGTCAGGTACTCATCCAGGATTGTTGCTTTTGCAGATGACTTGTTAACTTTCTGTACAGTTACCATTGCTGTTAAGTGCTATCACTGCATATGGAAATGGCAGCTGAGGTGCATTGCATTTGGGCAGGTTCTTGTACTGCAGAGCCAGGGCCAAACAGATTATTCCAACCTATAGGTATCCTTGTTCTGGAACAACTTTAACTGTTGCTGAATTTTTCCAGATATTTTTTGGCATAAGAATTGACGTGGGAAGGATTTGTAAGTCACAGCTCTTGACATTTAATCACATTCAGTATGTTTCTCTTAATATAGCTATACATGAATAATTACTTGGTACGTTTTACTATTAATTAAATAGTAATATAAATGAGTGTTTTAGGATATTAATAATAGTATCTACATAGGCAAAATGTTGCTATTTGAAGACATGGCAACAGTGTTTGCATGGTGACCTAATGGCTAAAGCTGTATAGGATTTTAATGGAGTATGTTGCTATTGTTTGCTGTAAGACTCTTTGCCCTAAAAATGGAGTAGTGTAAGCAGCAGAAAAGAAAGTGTAGATTTCATTTGTATTTGACATGCTAATGGATATTTTTGAGGTCCCTTCAGAATTGTTCCATGTCAAAAGTTTAGATTCTGAGTTGCTGAAAAAGGCTCGTATAAGCTCGCTCCCCTTGGCACTTCTATAACTCGGACCTGCCTGCCTAGCTGCTTGAAGTCATTTTTGTGGGGTTATGCTGGTTGCTTTTTCAAAATAAGTGTGAGGGTAACAACGTGACATCATCCAGTCCCTTGGATTCAGCATGGTTTTAGTGGAATTACTGTAATTCTCCTGTTCGAGTTTTAAGTGGCTTCAAGCAGAAACCCTTAATCCTCTCCACATCGGCAGAATAAAACCATGTCATCCCCTTTGTGGGCCATTACAATGTATTAATATTTTTTTATATATGTGGTAGCATCCTCCAGACGCTACCTTCCTAGCCATCTGCAGAGCTCTGCAATCTCCTGGTCAGTTCCCAGGTGTAGCAAGACTGCAATAAACATTAGCCTCTTGGTCAGAGAGGGCACGTAATCATGTTGTGTGATGAAAATTCACGTTGGTTACTCAGCTTCTCATGCTGTCACTGCAGGCTTGAACTGCTCTGCAGAGAGTTAGCAGGGAAGCACTTCTCTAGGGCAAAGCATCTCTTTTCCCATCTGAGCAGAGAGGGATTACTATGGAGGATGGTCACTAAGGGGGAGGTATCTTGTCAGGGAAATGGGAATCCCTACTGACTGAATATTAAAATCCATGCTTGATTCTGTGTGTCAGTGAGGAGCCTCAGGAAAGGGTGATAGCTCTTTTTGCTTAAGCTATTTGATGATCAATTTTCATGAAGTGTGCAATCATGTTATTAATTGGGTACTTCTGAGTTTCTTGAAAGTAAATATGACCTGATTCTGGTTAAAAGGCAGGTTAAGAAGGGAGAAAATACTCCACTTTGCATTCTTATGCCATTTCTCCTTTCTCTTTTAATCTCCCTCAATTCAAAGAGTTGAATAAAAATTAAAAATAAAACTATTAAAATGAAATGCTTTCTTAAGATGCAAACCAGCCAACCAGCCTGCCGGTTCACAGCTCAGATGCCTCCTTATAGCTGAGCATCTGAAAACAGCAGCATAAAAGGAAAATCCTGACAGCGGAGGCATTGTGGCACTAACGATGGCATTTTCTTCTGAAAGCCTCTACCTGCACAATTAATCAGTTCAGCAGTATTTGGGTGGTTTTGCAGATGAATGCAGGTTTTACTACAATAAGCTTGTCTCTTTGCTAGTGCCGTGGTGGAAGCAGCTGCTCGTGGCAGTGTAACCTGCATGGTAATCGGAGCTGTCTGCATATGGAAAGAAAGACTGTATGCACAGTGCTTGCTTATTATGCATTGATTAATTTTCACGTTCATAAATACAGTTCCCTTGTAGTCTTTGTAATAAGTTGTCTAACTGCTAGCAGTTTTTGATCAGCAACGCTGTACAGCCAACTTATATGCATTATGGCATGGCTGCGGCGAGGGGGAGACTGAAAGGTGGGAAGAGAAGCATGTCAGAGAGACAGAGATGTTAGTATGTGAGCCGAGGCTGCGAGTGGGCAGATTTATGGCAGATATTAGTGACTGCTCCCCCAAGGACCACCCCCTCCTCCCAAAATTGAGCTGGCATGCTCCTTTCTTCTGTATGTTTATTTAAATTAATTTTGCAGACGAGTACATGGGGTTATTTTGAAAGGGAAAGGCATAAATCTGATGGTGTGTTTGTGGAGCCCCCTGAATGGTTAGGACACAAGGAGTTTTCACTGCAAGTGTTGCCCTGAAAAATCTCTAAAATCTTCAGAGCACTGCTGTAAGTAAAGAAAGTTTAAACAGCTTGTTTTATAGGAAATTAAATCTTTGTGGCCTGTTTTGTTTTCAAACTTGCTGGCTCTTCCTTGCAGCATTAGAGCAGCAGCTGCCCATAAAAGCTCAGAAAGAGTGCTTTATGGATTGAAGATTTTTCTAATATAATTAGGGAGAAATGTACTTCATAGCACGTTTACTTTGGAGAAATGTCTTTTTGAGGGCTGCAACAAACAATTAAATTTTAACCCTACCCACTGTAAGCTGAACGTACTGTGCTGTGGGAGACTTCACCATGTCTGCCCTTGAGCAACTGTGCCTCAAAATTAACATATCATCCATTTAAGCAGCCTGAGTTCTCCTCAAACAATTGGGAAAAGCAAACTCCCATTCCCATGAGAATTGTCTTTGTGTTTATAAATGTTAACACTGCTATTTGCTCTGTTAAAAAACAAACAAACAAACAACAACAACAAAACAACACACAAATGCTGTGTCTCTTTGTTGCACGCTGGTGGTTTCACTGCGGTTGGTGGAGGTGATCATCTGCTAGCACACAAGTAGAAGGTATCAATTCAAGGCAAGGAATTTAAGCATTCATTTGCCTCCTTGATTCAGACATGTATGCCAGCAGGTGCTTCTTTTTAGGCACATGCTAGAGTGTTTTGTTGAACAAAGATCTGCCCGTGTACTTTCTGGGTTAAAGCTGATGGACCAGAGATGATGGATGGATCAGGCTTGCATGTATGTTCTCAGAAGCACATACTGTTGATACCACCTTTGTTTGTAACTTTATAATTTGAAACAGACCATTTTACTGAGCTTATTATCCTTTCCTGTAGGTTTTAGCCTTGAATGTTGGAATGAAGAAGAAAGTCTGAGTATACATGCAGACGTATATGCACACAAAACAATGGCAGTTTTTGCCTTAAAGACAAGATAAAGGCTTTCTTTTGCTTTCCAGTTACGAGGAGCAAAAGAATCCTTCTCTACCCCAGCAATTATCTGTTGGTCTTAAGTTGGAGGAAGGAGAGGAAAGAGGTAATAATGAGACAAAACCAGCAGGCGGAACGGAACAGCCAGGGGAGAAATGTTCACAGGTCTTAACATCTGTACTCAAAATCAAAGCAAAATTCCTTCTGATTTTTCAAAATTGTGAAGGTAGAAAATATGGAAAGCTCTTGCTGGGAAGCTCTCTTGTATCTCTCAGAAACTCAGAGAGTTCTGCATGCAAAGGGGATTGTTTGCCCAAGTCTTTGCCCAATTTGCACAGGTCCTGCCTTTAGTCCTAGCAGAGTGCTGCTGCAGAACTCTTCCATGCCAATGCTGGCACTTCATGCTTAGAGATGCTGACTGAAAACTGTTTGTCTCCTCTCTCCTCTTCTCTCCTGAAGGAAGCACTGGGCTCATTTTGCCTTCCACCAATGTACTTTGATGTGGAACAGGATCTTGGGATTGCATTTTGTTCATTTCCTCGTTCATTTCGGTGGCTGAGCAGAAGAGAGAATTTCTTGTACCTGGGCATGCTGTTGGGTACTTGAACTAGTTTCTTTTAGGTTCTGGTCTGATCTGCGTGGTTGGTCCCTGGGGTTTTGGTGTTGGCATCGTTGAAGAAGCCTGTAAGTCAAGACCTTAAAAAATAATAATATTAATAATCAGTTATATTAAGAACATAAGTGTGTTGTTAGGCTCTATCCAATGGCCTGATTCCTGTATGTAATCTTGTATGTAAGGAGGGACATGTATAATTTCCCTGATAGCTGGAAGAATGCTGGCAGGCCTTTTGTACAGGGTGGAGCAGAGAAAGGAAACTGTATGAAACAGCTTGTATCACATTGCAAAGATTTTTCATCCTGAAGGGCTGTGTTTTGTTAATGTTTTTGGTTGATGACCTGAAAAATGCAGGAGTCTGAAATGAGTGTCATTATTATTGTAATAATATTGCATCTCCTAGCATGCTGTTATTGATGCTATCAGCACCTGTGATTTCCAAGACATCTCAAATGCTAGTGAGATCTGCTCTTGTGTCAGGAAATAAAGAGGCTGGGTTATCTGTATTTTACAGATAGGGTAATTCACGTTAATCATTCTTAAAGTGTCTGCTGGTTTTGATCATACCAATTTGGGGTTGTTCTCCTG